CGTAGCCCCCCCCACATCCGATATGTCACCCGAAGGCTATACACCCCAGGCACTGAGGTCTCTGATAGCCACTTGTCAAAGACCAAGATCCCTAGAAGAGCGGTTCCCCTCAACATGACGCAGAAAATCGCTTCCACCGCCTACGGTATCTCTCCTCACCCAAGCTATCGCTATCGTATCGTGTTCACTCGCTTCAACCGAGCAGGAACTGGGGGGGTATTTTTGTGGATACGGTATTTTGCTGATACCGATACTGGTGGGCAACCGCTAATGAAGGGCAACCGTCATGGCTTCTGCAGAAGCCCGGTACAACGAAGCACCGGTACTGACTTCTTTCAAGGGCGGTTGCTGGCATCCGCCCCCTACGATATAAAATCCAGCCCACCACTGCTAGGTCGGGTGTAATTCAAGCATTCGAGCAATTAATTGGCATTAGCATCTGCGGCAACCGTGCGTACCCCAGATACTGCTGGACTATCACAAACAACTGTGAATGATCCTCCAGATAGTGACGCCCACCCGCATTAGAGTGAAGTGTGCACGTCTTCTCTCCAAACAAAAAAATTATCAGGAATTCTAATGAGCCAAAGAGAGTACAGATCAAATCAACGTTTCCCCTCAATTCGAGTCGCCAAGTATGCAGGAAAGAAGGAGTGAGGGGAGTATTTGCTTTTGACAGGACTGATGATGGATATTACGGAGCTGGATACGGAGCTGGCCCGGGGGGGGGGGGTGATAGATTGCAGTAAATGCAGTGAACCCCGTAGAACCAAACTTCGGGATTAAGCTGTGTATGATACAGTAGGAGTACAATTTAAAAAGAAGGAATAAGAAATGAAGATGCACAATATGTGGCCGCCAAAGAGGAATGATGCGCGGACGCTAAGTATATGTGAGATTAGATTTCTCGCACCATGTACCGGTATCTACTGTACGAGTACGGTAACTTAATACTTGACAAGCGTTGACAGCCAGTGAATTTTTCCTACCTTGACGTCTTCCGCCGCTCTAACACATCTATCTGTGAACTTGTAACTGGAAAAAAGAAAGAAGGAAAGAAAATATTGATACCCCACAGGAAAACATCGGACCGAGGGAGACTATGGGGAAAGCATTTGAAAGGAGAGGAAGATATTTCTCTTCCCCGCTTAATACCCGAGGGTATCATAACCAGCTAAAGACTCCAAGGCAACCCTCAAAATTATCACACGATAGCTTATTCCAGAATCCTCTCCTGACAACGTGACTCCTCCATCCGACCGTCACTTAATCACCATTTTCTCCCCCCACCTCCATTGATGGACCAGAGGGAGAAAATATCGGCAAGGGGAAAGGAAAGAAAAAAAAAAAAAAAAAAAAAAAGAGGCGCTTCGGCTCAAAGTGGCTGCATCTTTGGAAAGATCGAAGCTTGTCCGGACCCCGAACCGGAGCTACCCGAGACGTTGGGGGCAAATTTTCTTACTGGCTCGAAGGACGACGCGCAGAACCATTGCAGGAGGGCTTGTGTGCCGTATTATAAAGGAGGTTTTGTTGACAAAGTGCGGATTATGAACGCGACTCGGTACGTGCTTGCTGCGTTATGTCTTTGAAATTACTAACTTGTAGGATATTTGATTTCGTAGCAGTGGTGGTGGGGAGCCTCTGGATGAATCAAGGAGAAAAGAACGAAAGTTGGTGGTGGTGGTGTTGTGTTGTGTTGTGTTTACTCAATTGAAGGATGTAAGTCTGGCCGTTTGTAGGGGCGCGTTTTTTTTTTCCTTTTCTCTGCCAGTTTTTTTTTTTTTTTTCAGTCACTAAACTTGATCTCGCGCGGATTGCTCCTCGGTGTTGATGTGTCGTTTCTGATTAACAGGTAGACTAAAGTTATTGAGCAGAAGGAGGAGGGATTGTGGTAGGAGCAGAGCCGCCCTACGGCAACGGTTTTGGTGTCGGCACTGTGCTGGTACCGGTATGTGACGCCCACAGCTGACTCCGGAAGTTCCTTGGTTGCAGAGCGGTCCTCGCCGCGTACCTGAACCCAGACCGGCCAGCCCTATCCCCACGCCGAGCACTCCCAAAGTCTCTCTCTCTCTCGTTTTTTTCTCCCTCCTCCCTTGTTCTCTCCCCTCCAATGAAATCACCCTGTGTGGAACAAAGTTTATTTTCCTGGGGTGTTGCAGACAGGTCACATGCTCACTTTAAATTTCCCTTGCAACAACAACAAGAAGAAAGGTCCCTTATCAAACCTCCCGCGCTCGTCATTGGCGCTACGGGAAATCTATCAGCCAAACGGTAGGTACTAGTACAGTACAACGCTCTCCCTCAGTTGCACCGCGCGTCTACCCACACACCCTTAACTTGACCGCACATAATAATATTATGGTACAGAATTAGACCGGTTTTGTTCTGGAGAATACAACTATAGTACAGTTGGAAGAAATAAGATAAAAAAGAGGGGCGGAAAGGGGGGGAGGGTGCTCGTTTGGCATTTTGCGACATCTATCAGTGGGGTCAATAGAAAAAATAAAACAGAATACCGGCGAACAGACATGCATGCCGTATGTGCGAATTGGTCCGGGCCTTGTCTCCGGTCGTGCGGGTGCTAGTGGTAGTGGTGGGGATAGGCAATGCGGTGGTACTCGTAGCAGTGCGGTCGGCAGCAGGCTCACTTTTGGTGATATTCTGTGCGTTTGAGTCTGCCATACTTTTTTCTTTCTTTTCTTTTTTTCTCTTCCAGACCGCCTCAACAGTTATCACACATAAGAAGCGTCTAGGAATATGGCATATCTTCCCCCAACTACCGGTGTCCAGACCTGCAATTCCTTTTGCAGAGGAACACATTTTGGTGGCAACGCGGTTTCGCCGAAATGGGGCAAATCATTAGTCTTCTTCCACCGACCTCATATTTTATTTTATATAGTAGATTTCTGCAGTATCGCTAACAGGACGGACGGGCAAGCAGGCGGTACAGCGGGTCGCTTGCTGGCACGGAATACACTCTTTGCAGGCAGCATGTCATGATGGTATGGTTACAACAATTCGCACACATTATACCACCTGTCCTACCTCGGTCCAAAACGCAATTATGTTTTCCCCCCCTTCAGAGGAAGGAAAGGACCAATGATAGTAATAATAATATTGGGCCCCCCAAAAGTTTCCCAGCTTATCGTTTAGCTTCTAGTCAAATCACCATCTACCTAAAGCCCACGCCGACGGAGTGGATCCTGCGATGGGATGTGTTAGCGATCCGCCCCTCACTTCCTCCCCTCCCTACCATCATCTCAACCAGGGACCACGACCCTTCCCGAAGACCCTGA